AATCAAAAGCAAGAATCTGAATCGAAGACTACTCTAATCATCAAGGCTTTCATTCAAAAATTGAAGGTAAAATAAAGAGCTACCCAGACAAAATAAGACTAAAGGAGTATAACGCCACCAAACCTGCAATGAAAGAAATGTTCAATGGACTGATGCAAGAAGAAGAATAAATACAGAGAGGAACATAGACATAAAGAATAAAAATGGCACCCTGGCTGGTTTGGCTCAGTGGTTGGAGCATCAGCCTGCAGACCAGAGAGTCCCAGGTTCGGTTCCCACTAGGGGCATGTACCAAAAAAAAAAAAAAAAAGAATAAAAATGGCAATAAATAAGTACCTATCAATAACACCCTTAAATGTAAATGCATTAAATGCTCCAATCAAAAGACATAGCATAGCTGAATGTATACAAAAACATGACCCATATAAATGCTATATACAAGACCCACCTCAGAAAAAAATACTCACACAGGATGAAAGTGAAGGGATATAAAAAGGTTTTCCATGAAAATGGAATGAAAGCAAAGCAGAGGTAGCAATACTTATATCTGACAAAATAGACTTCAAGGAAAAGGTCATAACAAAAGACAAGAAGGTCACTACATAATACTAAAAGGATGACTACAACAAGAGGATATAACCCTGATAAACATATATGCACCCAGGAGCACCTAAATACATAAAAAAGCTCTTGGAGGACTTTTAGAGAGAGAGAGATTGACAGCAATACAGGCATAGTAGGGGACTTTAACATGCCACTGACATCACTGGATAGATCTTCCAGATCAAAAAAAACAAAGCAAAACAAAAACAAAAAAACAAGGAAACAGCAAAATTAAATGACAAACTAGATCAGATGGATTTAATTTACGTTTACAGAACAGTTCACCCCAACCTGCAGAATACACATTATTCCCAAGTGCACATGGGACATTCTCAAAGACAGACCACATGTTTGGACACAAAATAAGTCTCTACAAGTTCAAGATGACCGAAATCATATCAAGCATCTTCTCAGATTAAGTGGAATGAAACTAGAAATCAACTACAATGAAAACACACAAAAACATTCAAACACATGGAAGCTAAATAGCATGTTATTAAGTAGTGAATGGGTTACCAATGAGATAAAAAAAGAAATAGAACACTTCCTGGAAACAAATGAAAATGAACACACGATAACCCAAAATCTATGGGACATAGCAAAAGCAGTCCTAAGAAGAAAGTTCATAACATTACTAGCCTACCTCAAGAAACAAGAAAAATCTCAATTAAACAGTCAAACCCAACAACAAACAACAATTAGAAAGAGAGTAACAAGAAAAGCTTAAAGTGTGTAAAAGAAAGAAAATAATAAAAATCAGAATGAAAATAAATGACATAGAGAGTAAAGAAGAAAAAAAAAAAGATCAATGAAACCAAGAGCTGGTTCTTTGAAAAGATAAACAAGACTGATGAACATTTAGCCAGACTCATCAAGAAACAAAAAGAGCAAACCCAAACAAATAAAATCAGAAAAGAAAGAGATGAAGGAACAACAGACACCACAGAAATAAAAACGATTGTAAGAAAATACTATGTACAACTATATGCTAACAAATTGAACCAAATGAGAGAAATGGACAAATTCCTAGAAATACACAATCTTCTCAAACTCAATCAGTAACAACTGGAAAAACTGAAAGACCAATAACAGAGTCCCAGGTTTGGTTCCTGCTAAGGGCACGTATCTCGGTTGTAGTTTGTCCCCGGCCCTGGTTGGGTCGTGCGGGCAGCAGCCACTCAATGTGTATCTTTTATGTCGATGTTTCTCTCTCTCTCTCTCTTCCTCTCTCTCCCACACACTCTATCTGAACAAAAAATGGAAAAATGTCCTCAGGTGAGGATAAAAAAAAGTGCAAAGGGAACCTACTGTATGGGAAAACATATTTGCCAATTATACATTGAATAATGGGTTAATTTCCAAAATATGTATATAAAGAACTCATACGATTCAACAAAAGGAAGACAAACAATCCAATTTAAAAAATGGGTGAAGGACCTAAATAGACACTTCTCCAAAGAGGACATACGGATGGCCAGGAGACATATGAAAAAGTGCTCAAAGTCACTATTCAATAAAGAGATGCAAATTAAAAAGACAATGACGTATCACCTCATACCTGACAGACTGGCTACCATCAATAAATCAACAAACAAGTCCTGGTGAGGATGTTTGTTTGAAATAAATCAACAAACAAGTCCTAGTACACTGCTGGTGGGAATGCAAACTGGTGCAGCCACTATGGAAAATAGTATGGCGTTTCCTCAAAAAATTAAAAATGGAACTGCCATTTGACCCAGTGATTCCACTTCTAGGAATATATCCTAAGAATCCCAAAACACCAATCAGAAAGGATATATTCACCCCTACGTTCATAGCAGTATTATTTACAATAGCTAAGATCTGGAAACAGTCCAATTGCCCATCATCAGATAATTGGATTAAAAGGCTGTGGTGAGTTTACACAATGGAATATCATGCAGCTCTAAAAATGAAGAATCTCTTACCCTTTGAGACCCCATGGAGGGACCTAAGAGTATTATGCTAAGCAAAATAAGCCAGTCAGAGAAAGACAAATATCACATGATCTAACTTACATGTGGAATCCAAGGAACAAATAAACCGACGAACACAATAGGTCCAGAGACATGGAAGCATGGCAGAGACTGGCGGATCTCAGAAGCAATGGGCAAGGGGACAAGAAGAGATCAACCAAAGAATTTATATGCACGTGCCCTGGCCAGTTTTGCTCAGCGGTTAGAGCATCGGCCTGCAGTCCGGAGAGACCCGGGTTCGGTTCCCGCTAAGGGCACGTACTTCAGTTGCAGTTTGTCCCCGGCCCTGGTTGGTTGTGCGGGTGGCAGCCACTCGATGTGTCCCTTTCACATCGATGTTTCTCTCTCTCTCTCCCTTCCTCTCTCTCCCTCCCACTCTATCTGTACAAAAAATGGAAAAAAGAATTTATATGCACGTACATGGACACAGACAATAGTGTGGTGAAGGCCTGGGCTAGGGCTTGAACCAGGTGGAAGTGGGCAATGGGGGAAAGATTGGGAACATCTGTAATACTCTCAACAATAAAGACAAATACATAAAAATAAATAAATAAAAAGAAAAGGGGAGACACAGTGGAAAGTTACAATTTTAAATAATGGTCAGAAAAGTCTCAAGGAGAAGGTAATATTTGGGTAAAGACTTGAAGGAGGAGGAATGGAGCCATGGAGATATCTAGGGGAGGAACGCTCTAGGCAGGACAAACCAGTGCAAAAGCTGTTGGGGGAGCATGCTAGGCATTTTTAAGGAACAGCAAGGGGCCAGTGTGACTGGATTAGTGGGAACCTGTGGAAAAGGTGCAGGAGATGAAGTCACAGAGGTAGAGTGGTTGATCACACAGGGATATGTAAGTAACAATAAGAATTTGGGCTTTTACTCAAGAAGAAATGGTGAGCCATTGGAGGGTTTTAAGCAGAGGAGTGATATAACCTGACTTAGGGTCTTGACAGCATCCCTCAAACGTAGATAAAGAACAGACTGTACTTACTTGTGTTATACACCCTATGATATCATAAGACAGCTATGATTATACAACAGTGGTCCTCAAAATGCAATATCCATTACAATTCAAATGTAAATCTTGTTCAAATGCAAATTCGGACTCAGTGGGTCCGGAGTGGAGCTAAAAAGTCTGCATTTCTAAAAGCTCCCAGGTGAGTCAGACACTGCTGGTCTAGGACAAAACACTTTGGGGGTAGAGCTATGTCTAGGGCCTGGCACAGAGCAGAACTCCACTAAACGTTTGCTGAATGAATGACTTGTCAGTGGTTTAATGCTCAGTGACACATAGCACATTCAAGACAGTAATTTAAAAAAATATATCAACCATTTGTGTGACTGTAGGAGGAAGAGAAAAAGATAAAAGAGAGACATGGATGGATGGGTGAATAGATAAAAGGGAGGGGCAGAAAAGGAAAACTACTTTTTCCCAAATACATACAATATGTTTACTTAATTTGTCAATAACCTTGAGAGGTCAGCAGAATGAAGCCCACTGGACATATGATAAAATCAAAGGTCTGAGGAGTTAAGGGGCACCGTCAAGGCCAAAAGGTTCATTAGTAACAAAGTTAGCAAGTGAAAGTCAGCACTCCATGTCCCCAGAGCTCTTGTTCCTTCCACCCTACCTTACTTCCGCACGGGGAGGGGAAGATAACCTTTAACCTTCCAGGAAAGGTGAAAAGATTTAAGCCCCACAGTCTTTGGCTGAGATTGGTCCAGAACTACGCTGTCCAATGTGGCTGCCATTAGTCACATGTGGTCGTTTAAATCAAAGTTAAATAAAATATAAAATTCCACTTCTCAGTCATACGAGCCACACTGCTCAATAGCCATAGACAACTGGCGAGTGGCTACTATATTGGAGAGTGTAGACACAAAACATTTTCATCACTGCAGGATGTTTAATCGGGTAGTACTGCTCCACAGAAACAAGAACTTTGAAAAATGCTACAACTGTACTGTTGACTACAGATTGGGCCCTGGCCCCGTTCATCAGGACAGGGGCACAGTCAGTAGGATATGACCCCTTCATTTGGAAGGAAGGGGATAAAATATTCAAAGTAGAGTGTTTGCTGGGTAAAGCAGAAGGCTACAGCGTGTGCGTGTTTGTGTGTGTATGTGTGAGAGAGAGAGGGAGAGAGAAAGAGAGAGAGAAAATATGGATAAGAAAGTTATTCAGACAAACAGGTATATAGAGAAATGAGAGAAAAACAGATAGCGAAAAACTGAGAAGCCCCAAGGGATCAGTTTCTTACGAAAAAATCTAGGAAGCCAGTCAAGATGCCCTTTCCAACATCTTGGAACTGTCGCATGTAGGGCCCAGGGAAGTTGTTGGTTATTCACGGAGGTGTACTCTAGTCCACCCTCATTGCCCCCACATGCACCATCATAGCTGGGCCTACCTCACAAATGTCCTTGAGGTGCTTGATGTAATGACGTTCAGTGCTCATGATTTCATTGATGACGTTGGCCCGCATCTGGTCCCGGTTCTGCAGTGGCCGGCCCAGACAGAGGCAGTCTGAGTTGGGGTCCAGGTGCCCATTCTGCACGTCACTGGGCCCTTCCTCTACGCCATCCTCCTGGTTCACCCAGAGCTGTAGATGAAGGCAGAAAAAGAATGGATTAGCTTCCCTCTTTGAGAAGTTTCCAGCCAAAAAGAAAAAGGATAAACTAGATTTTTCAGGTATTCAGATAGCCTTCAACCAGAGGCCCCTGTAAAGTGAATGCCACGCCTGGCTCCAAGGTGACTTCCTGACCCTAGGAATGAGTCTAATTCTCTCCACACCTTTGGTGACCTATCTGTAAAATGAAGGATACGGAGGGTGGAACTAAATCATCTTCAGAGACTTCTTAGCTCAAATGTTTTCAGAGGAAAGATGAGTTATGGCAAGCAAAACTCATTCATGTTGGGGCATATCTAGGGAACATAACTGGTTCAAAAAAAAGAGATTAAGCTATACATATTAGATGCTATGGCTAGATTGTTAAATAGAACACCTATGAGCCTGGAGAGCAAAGTTAGATACTAGAGTGGGTATATCAAAAACAGAATCTTCAGTGTTGATTTCCATCAAAGGCTGCACAAATACTCATTACCATTTGTCTGTAAAATTTCTTGGATATACAAAGAACTGTATTTCCTCAAAGTTGGAACGGAGATGTCAGAATATCCCTGTACCACATAACAGCTATAGCTCTTTATTGAGCACTTACTATATACAGCCACTGTGCTAAGAGTTTTCAATGAACTGCATTATTCAGTTCTGCTAGGCAGGTACCATTATTACCACCATTTCACAGAAGAGGAAACTGAGTCTTAAAAAAGTTAAGGAATTTATCCCAAGTCACAAAGTTAGAAAACAGAGGAGCTGGGATAGAAGCCAGTCAGTTTGGCTCCAGAGCATATGGTCTTAATTACTATACCTATGGCTCTAAGAGGGACAGGAAAGGAGTAGAGAAGGGATTGGAACAAGGTGAGCTGAGAAATATTAGACTCATCAAAATTAGATACAATTGGTAGAGATTGAGACTATCCATTCCAAATCATAAAGTAAGGGATACAGAAAAAAAAAGAAAGAAAGAAAAAACTCTGTTGGGAAGGCTGGATAATATATCTCTTGACCTGGGATGACTTAACTCAGGGAGAACCCCAGTCCAACAAAGGAGGAGAACCAGGGGGGCATGGAGAAAAGGAAGGTACCCTAAAAAGAATGCTAAGATCTGCCAGGAGAATTAGCCAAAGCACTTGCCAGTTGTCTCTCCAGCTTTATTCAACAATCCATCTTTCCAACCCATACCCCCTACCCCCCGCCGATTTTTCCACATTCCTGCCTCAAGAAGCTAAGGTCAAGCAATTTCAATGCATCCCTATTTCTGCCACCAGAAAAGTATGTTGTTTGGTGGTTTTAGAGAGAGACTTTGAGATACAGCTAGAGGGACAGTAGTTACTTCACAACCCTGAGTATTCTCCTCTCCCTTTACCTCACAGAGCTTGGGGAGCTTAGTTACCACTCACTGAACCTAGAGATGTCACCAGCATACAGTCTACTATTTGCCACAGAGCTAAGCAAGTAGAGCTCAATCCATTTGAATGCATTTTGCATGCACAGCCAAATGTGCAAAAATGTATCTCCACCCAGAACCTATCACCCTCTGCAAATGATTTATTGTAATTTTCTTTCCAGCTTACAAAGGTCAGCTTTGTGTTTTCAATATGCTAATAGCTGCCCTTTAATACAATCAATAGGCAGTGATGAAAGACGACAATTCATCAAAAAACGAATCTGTTCAAAAAGGTGATTCTAAGGGATTTAAGCAAACACATCATATACCTGATATTGTCTATTTGTACCAATAAAAACCTCATTCTCTAATAATCTATTAGCTTTTTCCAGCTTTTCATAAAGCAAGCTAATCCCTGCTATGAAGGGTACAATAGGTAGGCCTTTAAGAGATAAGAACCATTTCTTTTCTTCTCAGGAGTTTAAGACAGTAAAGACAAAACAAAATGTTGGCTTTCAGATGGTTGAAAAGAGATGACTATGAAATAATTCCAGTGGGGCCTGGCCAGTGTGGCTCAGTGGTTGAGCATCGACCCAAGCACCAGGAGGTAACCAGTTTGATTCCTGGTCAGGGCACACGCCCAGGTTGTGACCTATCCCCAGTAGGGGGATGTGCAAAAGGCAACTGATCGATGTTCTCTCATCGATGTTTCTCTCTCTCTGTCTCCCTTCTTCTTTCTCTAAAATCAACAAAGACAAATATTTTTTTGAAAAGAGAGGGAGAGAAAAAAAAGAAATTATTCCAGTGGGAAGAAGCACGGAATATTGGTGGGGGTGGATGGGTTAGAAAGTCAGGTCAAGACAGAACTTAGAAAGTCAGGTCAATGCCCTGGCCGGTTTGGCTCAGCGGTTAGAGCGTCGGCCTGCGGTCCTGAGAGACCCGGGTTCGGTTCCCGCTAAGGGCGTGTACCTCGGTTGCAGTTTGTCCCCGGCCCTGGTCGGTTGTGCGGGTGGCAGCCACTCGATGTGTTCCTTTCGCATCGATGTTTCTCTCTCTCTCTCTCTCTGTTCCTCTCTCTCCCTCCCACTCTATCTGTACAAAAAATGGAAAAATGTCCTCCGGTGAGGATAAAAAAAAAAAAAGAAAGTCAGGTCAAGACAGAACCAAATTAGGTTCAATCCTACTTCCTTAGTTCAAATCACAATGAAAGGGCAGGAAGGCAACTACAATTAGGTAGATGCAGATTTCTTACACAGAATTTGCTGGAGGAGCCCCTTCTAATGAGAACTAAAGGCATGGATGGCAGGACCCTTTCTTCATAAAGAGCCTTTGAGAAGACAATATCTTTATGTACTATACTGCAACAATCCCCCTATTTGGGGAAATATTCCACCTTAATCCAAAAAATATGACTGGTAGATTTATTTATTCATTAAATCTATGTTAGATCCTTAATATGCAACAGAAACTGAAGATATAGCAGCAACAAAAGAAATAAAAATATCTGTCCACAGTAGAGCTGACATTTGAGGGGAAATGACTTTAGCCTAGAAAAAGGTTATCATATAAGGCCCGATTATTGTGCCCCAAGGCCCAGGGTCCCCCAAAAAATCCCCTGGGCCTGAGACCATGACTTTCTGGTATAAAACTCCCAGTACCCAGCTCTTGAGAGTTTTCCTATTATGTGCAGATGAAGATCCTTGTCTGCTTGTGTGTCAAAGTGCATGGACACAGGTCAGCCCATGAGTTCATCTTCCCGAGTGCAATATCAACCCAGAATACCATATCAACCTCCTCACCAACAAATTATGCAAGCTAATGTATACCTGTATATCTGTTCACAAGTGTTTTACATTGACACCACAATTGGAACACATGGGCTCCTGGATGACAAGAAAGAAGACAGACAATGCCCACGGCCTGGAAAGATGGAAGGCTTTCCTGGAAGCCCTCTCAGAGTACTTGAAGATTCTTTTATTCAGCCTTCATTGTGCTCTCAGCAAAACTAGGTTAATGCAATTCAATTTAACAAATGCCTATTTTGGACCTAGTCTGTGCCGAACCTATAACTATGAGAAACACGGGGGTGAGCAAGAGAACTGACTACTCTCTCCTCCCTCAGTTTCAGGGAGTACTTTCCAAATCAGAGCTCTCTAGACATTGTCTCTTACTTTTCCATTCTTACTGTCATAGTACCCATTCCCTAAATGATTTCCTGGGTGACTCCCAGCTCCAATCCTTCCCCTACATCAATTTCCTTGATTATCACTTTGATTGGCTACTCTTACACCTCCATATCCTCAATAGTTGCCCATTGCCAAGTCAAAATCTCTTACCCTGGAATTAAAATATTACCATAATCTGGCTTCAATCCACCTTTTCTTTCTTAGCTTCTACTGCGCCCTTCAGGAATACTGGGCTCCTTCCAAACTGGTCTACTGTCTGTCCTCAAATACTCCAAACTATGGTCTTTAACCCCATGCTTAAACATGAATATAACATAGTCCAGAGGTTTTCAACCACTGAAACGATTATGAACCCATATTTCAACTTCCTGGTGAAGAAACTGAGGCCCATAAAGGAGAAATGACTGACTGTTAGCAACATACCCATATCCTAATTTTGATATGCCTCTTTATTTTGTATCTTCAGTTTTTCCTCTGTTTTAAAAAATTACACAGTTATACAGGATTACATTTGCTTTGTAAAATGTTAATATAATATAAAAAGAGAACTCAAATTATTAAAATCAGGAATAAAAAGGAAATATTACTACTAATCTAGCAGAAACAAAAGGGATTCAAGGAAACATTATAAACAAGTATATGCCAATAAATTAGATAACCTGATAAAATGGGAAAAAATCATAGAAAGACAGAAACTGACTCAGGGAAAAGGGAAAATTTGGAAAGACTTATCACAAATAAAAAGATTGGATTAATAAAAAACTTCCTACCTGGGGGAAGGGGTTAGACAGGACCAGATGGCATCAATAGTGAATTCTACCAAACATTTAAAGATTAACATCAATCTTTCACAAACTCTTCCAAAAAACAGAAATGCAAAAAGTCTCAACAAAATACTTGTAAACCAAATCAAGTAATATATTTTTTTATATCTACTTTACCAGATGGAATTAATCCCAGGAATGCAAGATTGGTTCAACACAAGAAAATCAGTCAAAGTAATACATCACATTAATGGAATAAAAAAAAAACATATGATCATCTCAATGGACACAGAAAAAGCATCTGACAAACTCTAATACTCTTTCATGATTAAAAAACACTGAAGAAACTAGGCATAGTACAGAACTGTCTCAAACTGATTATTGAAATTTATGAAAAACCCATGCTTAATATCATGTTTAATGGTGAAAGACTCAATGCTTTCATTCTATGATCATGAATAAACATCACTTCCATGCAACATTTGTACTGAAGGTTCTAGACAGAGAAACGGAGGGAAAATGCATTCAGATTAAAAAGTAAAACTACTCACAAATGACATGACCATATATATAAACTCCTAAGAAATCCACACATTAAAAAAACACTGTTATAACAAATAAACTAGTTCAGTAATGTTGCAG